AATCCTTCTGGTCTGACGGTACTGACCCTTTCCAATTAAGTTTATATTCTTAAAACCCCTTTAATTCTATTATGGTTGACTCTACGGCAACGTATTTTTCTATTGCTCACAAATCTCTACTAGGAAGACCAAGATATGAGTGGATAATATTAAACTACATCTTAGAAAGATAGTATGGGGTCGTATGGAGAGGACTGATCTGGCTCATGATAAGGACCAGTGGAGGGCTCTTGTGAACACTGAAATGAACCTTTGGGTTCCACAAAATATTGGGAAATTTTTGAGCATCAGCAAAACTGGCGGCTTCTCAAGAAGGGCTCGTCTCCATGGAGTTCAGTTAGTTAATTCACAAAGACAGTTCCCTTTAGCTGTTGACAGAACGAGGGACATATTTCTTTTAATGATCTTCTTAAACATCAAAGTCGTTTATGCCAGAAGGGCCAGGGCTTCTAGGTGAGATATATCATTCATGGGACAGACAGTATTAAATGTTTTGTCGAAAGGAAAACGCTCGGAGGCACGCCCCTAACTCTTCTATCATCCCTTACAGGACATAGTTCTAATTACAATGAGCGGCAGGCATTCCATCCTGGCGACACGTGCCGGGCATTCTGATCCTCTACGAGGTGCACCCAACGACGTCTGGAAGACAGTATGGTCAAACGGCGAAAATGACGTCAAGAGACAGCGAATGAGACACTGCCATTTCAGTCGCGTGCAGTAAACGTTAAGACTCACGCTACATATATAAACGCTAGCGGACATTAATATCTGTAATCACATCCAAACTCGGCTTAATTGCAACAGAAGAGAGTAACAAATATAACAGAATTTTTGTCTCCAAATTAATAAGACATTCTCTCGATAATGTATCTTGTTCTTTCAAATAATTACGGCAGTTAATAAAATCTAGGGTTATCAGGCGTGCCAGTTGTCTAAATACGTATTATCGACTCTTGAGGGACTCTGCCCCCATTATCTGATCCTGACGTTTCCTGAAACGTCGGTATTTTTTTAACCAGCTGACACGACTGATAGCCTAAGAAGATGTTATTAACCTTAATCGCAGTGAAAGCTTCACATCAACATACTGTGGAGTATTTACTCCATGCAAAAACTGTTGAGGCACAAGAACAGCCGTCGCTAATGTAATACACGCTCGCAGCAAGAAAACAGCGGAGTTATACAACCCGTTACTAGGCAACGGCTCAGTAAGCACACTTCCGCGTAGGTAGTGACGTCACACAATGGAAAGAGACCACAAGACGTGTTTTCTGTAGGTCCGCACAGAAGTTTCATAGGGGACAGTGAAGATTGTTTGCAGTTAGCCATAGCTGAGAAGCCGTGAGTCAAGGACACGAAGCTGTCACGAAAAAGAGTCCACGAGGGTACAGCAATTGACAGTACAAGGACGAGAATGGAATGTGTCCTTAGTGAATTGTGAAGATTAACTGAGTACAGATTAGGACAGAGTAGTGCAGAGTGACTGAAGACTTCATACTGATTTGAAGTGCTAGTTTCTGTGTTGAGATCCGTTGCCAGGAGATAACTAGTGAAGACGGAGATTCCTAGTGCGTGTGCAACGGTGAACTGTAATTATGTAAATCAGCGATAGCTCTGTAAACGAAGCGCTAATAAATCCCATCATCCGAACTATAGCCCGTTATTTGTCACGCGTATCACCCTATACTTGACAATATATACTATCAATACGATTATTAAACAGCTCAGCCAATATTTGAATATACCAGACACAGCATATTAACCACTAAATGACTGTGATTTGTAACTAACGAACTTTAGACACTCCCAAACGCCTGATAATTATTCACGCATTTTAGAGATGTTTATTGTTAAAGAACCAGATAATCCATCACCGTTATCGCAAGATCCAACTACACGATCATCCCCTATGCCTGTTCCACCCCATTCACATCTTCACAACTTACTTCCATACGAGATATTTCGATATTTCAGTCCCTTCCTGTGCTATCTGAAGACGGCCACCGGATTGAATCCGAAACCTTGACCTTGGATCCGATCAGATGCCGGCTGAAAACATCGTGCCTGTCCCCAGCCATCGGCCTCAACATTTATTTTCATTTTTACAAACTTGTTACTTTCGTTTTTTACTAATATTCCCGAATGAAAAACATAAACATATAAGACATATAATCAGAAATTCAAATATTAATGAACGATACTGAAATTAAGAACAGTAACGAAATGGATAGCCGGCCACGGTAGTCGAGCGGTCTAAGGTATGCACTGTCTTCGCTCGCTCGGAAGCCGGGATCGTGGGTTCGAATCCCACTCAGGGCATGGATGTTCAATGAGTGTATGTGTGCGTTTTTCTGTGATTGTGTACATGTAGAGGCCTTGCGACGAGCTGATCATCCGCCCGAGGAATTATACCGAATATCTAAGATCTAGTAAACCGAAGTGAAACGGAGAGTTTCATAGAGGAAGGCCAAGGCCCAAATTGGGGCTGTAGAGCCAAAGGGGGAAAAATAAACGGATATTTTAATAGAAAGAATTGCTCCAGTCACTACTCTCACTTCCGTTACTACTACCGCTCACCAATGAGATGACTAATTTCTCTGTTATATCATCGACAGACACTCCGTTTCCGTATACTCTCTATCGATTTGTTTCACCTTTCCACACAACGGTGTCCGGTCTTCTTCCGTCACATGAGTACTTTTATTCTTACAAATTTCTCTAACTGGAGGCAACTTAAACCTCAGTTAGGGCACTGCCAGATGTCCTGTTGCCGCTTCAATTGGATTTAAGTCAGAATGGTATGGGTTTGGCAGAAGCAGTTGGTAGCTATCGCGCTGAAGAAACTCGCCGAACATACGTGTATAACGTTAATGTTATCCCTATAAATTTTAATCAACTCTTATAGTTGTGGCTTCAACATATTTGATGAGAAAGAGCAGAAGCTAGTTAATCAGCTTTATCAACTTCAAGTTAGGGCTTTGTCAACTTTTATGTCGATATCAGCCACTGATTGAGGAGGAAGACTGGGAACCAATTTCTCTTTTATCGATTTCATACGATTCTCAGTATTCATTTGGTCGTGATAGGCACTTTGCTTCGAGTCAGATTTTTCACATCAAGAGAGCATTAGCGATGAAACCCAGTTCATTGCCAGTGTAATAATTAAATGGTCACCTTCTGCTACGGGTACACACAGTCCTTCTAGACTTCTTAGTCATATACCTGTATGTATTGCTTCTTTTCTGCCCCTGGAGTCGACCAACCCTCTAACAGAAATAAGTACCAGGAATCTTCCTGGGGGGTAAAGGGCGGCCGGTGAGTAAGGCTGTCAGACTCACCGCCATCTGTGAACCGACTGTCTAGAGAAAATGTGGAAGCCTCAACGTCTCACAACCTTATGGGCCTTCACGGGCTGTTACAGGGATAGTTTCACTTTTATTGCCTCTTTCTTCACGTTCTTAATTTAGAATCTTACGATTATTACGATGTAAATGCATTTTTCCACACAAACCCGAAGTCCTTTAAAGTGGATCTCAGACTTTTCACTTCCAGTGCAATTTAATCTGACCTTAAGTATTTCACAGTGTCTTCATGCTAAGCAACTTTTTAGTATGGCATAACACTAATGAAATGTCCTTCGCACCATACACCGACTTAAGTAGTCAAGCTCAGTAGCTGGCTTCTGTCAGTGATTTGTCTTCTGTATGAGTTTCTTCTCATATAATAATTTCTTCACTAATTATCCTAAGATAATACAGGCAACTGCAGTTATTTCCTCATACTTTTAGATCCTGGTGTCTATTATTCTCTGTTGTGGCCATTTCTCCGACTTGAATGGATTCTTTTTTCATAATTCCATTAATACTGGTCAATACTTTCCTTGCTTAACTATTAAGGTTTTGTCTTCCACTTTGGATTTAAATTCAGCCATAATTATTCAAAGGCTGCAAGTAGAAGAAACGCTCAAGAACAACCAACTTACTCTTCTTAATGTTAATATCATTTCAGCCTACCTTCCTCGTTTTGAAAAATAAAAGGAGGTTTATGAGGTCATCTTACTGTCTGTCTGTGTATGTGTCTGTCTGCATCTGTCCATCTCTCTGTGTATCACCCTCCAATTTTTTAGGTTTATGAGATCACCTTGCAGTCTGTGTTCCCCCCTTTTTTTTCCTGTGTGGCCCATGTCGTATCAAAGGAAAGTAGATGAGTATTTCTTCCCAGAACTTCTTGTTAACATGCAGATATCTGATTATGTTTTTGTGCTATGCTATGCTATACATATTACAGGGCACACTTAAGGCTGAAAATCTCATCTGTGAGCCGATTTTCTAGAAAAGGTAGGAGCTTCGTCGTCTCACAAGCCTATGGCCTCCATGGCCTGTTACAGGGATTTTTTTTTCCTTTGCACTACAGCCCCAGTGGGCCTAGGCCTACCTCCATGAACTTCTCCGTTCATTTCGGTTTTTCTAGATCTTACACATACGGTAGGACTCCTTGGGCGAGTGATCAGCTCGCCGCAAGGCCTCTACCTGCAGACAAACACAGAAAAGCGCACACAAACATCCATGTCCTGAGCGGGATTCGAACGCACGATCCCGGCTTCCGAACGAGCGAAGACGGTACATGTACAAAACACAACACACAGACTTACCTTGACAGGAGGGCCGCGCCATAGCTCAAGCGGTTAGTCGCTGATTTCCCACCGCGGAGGCCCGGGTTCGATCCGGGGTCTGGTCAAGTGGGATTTGTGGTGGACAAAGTGGCGCTGGGGCAGGTTTTATCCGAGTACCTAGATTTCCCCTGCCAATCTTCATCCCACCAACTGCTCCACAATCACCCTCACCTATTATCTGAGGCTGGTACAATAGACCAGAAGTGGCCGCAGTACAAAGGACTTAGTCCCACCCCAGTAGCAATAAAAAAATACCTTGACAGGACGAAATTAAAACACCGATTTTCTTTGCCTCGGTTCACACAGCATCCGTGTATCACCTTACCTGTTGAGGTTATCCTCTCCTACGCCTAGTTTCCTGGCACTACTGTTCTCCACTATGGCCGTCGTCCGCAGCTTGCCCGTTCCACCACTCGCATCAGTAGAATCCTGGCCGATAAGCACTTCGGTCCGGCCGTTCGCGAAGGGCGAGGTGGCCCTGCCCTTAGTACTTGCACTGCACTCACTAACACTGTTCACTAGATCTTCGCTCAGGTCCTGTTTCAGCTCGATCTCGGCGGTCGAGTCGGGTTCCTCTGTGCTGCTAGTGTTGGTGATAGCATGGCCGTTGCTCAGAGGTCCTGTCTTCACGCCCCGACCGGGCACGATCGCTGTCCTGCGCGGGGGAGTATCTTGTTTCAGCAGGTGCTGTGCCGCGGTACTGCTGTTGTTGGGTGGGATGGAAGTCACGTATATCGGACTGCTCTCTATGAAACCGTTCAGTTCTTGCTGATGTTCAGTCGCAGGGATTTGCCGGTTCAGCTGTTCAGGAAACAGAATAACATGTCAATCAGACTGCGGGACAACAGGAAAGTACTCTACTGAACAGACAAGTTGAGGGGAACGGTTGTGCCGTGGCATTTACTGCCACGTGCCGACAGCAAAACCAGTCAGCACCAGCCAGGCTGCTATGGGTAGGATTCCTGTAAACAGGTAAATTTGTCTCAGTGTTTAATTAGCTAGTGAATATCATGAAGAAATGGGGGAGCGGAGGTATAACTCTACCTTCCTGCCCCTGCCTCTTTACCCTCTAGGGAAGAGCCCCCGGTAGGGTAGGAGGCTAGGTGGGCCCCAGAGTCGGTCTGGACGCTGTGGAGAGGAGAAAATTCTTGCATTTCTGGGAATCGAACACGGTTCGACGTTTGTTGTAACTAGTTCATCATGTCTCTACAGTCGCTCTCTTGAAGTACATGAAGGTAGACTTCGGCAGTGGAACGTATATTTCGCAGGGGGAGATACATGGACATATTGCTAATTAATAATAACACCGGTTGCATAATGGCAACGCGTGACAAGTCTGCATGGAATCAACTCTCAACATCGCTGTCTCATAACTCTCTGCGACTGCGCAACAAACTGTCACTCGCAGTCTTGTTTAATTCCAACTCTAGGCAAATCTCTAATTCTTCATGTTTGTGATGAGAACGTAAGGGAAATACAGCGTAACCTGCTTCGGAGGGAACAGTTATATTTGATAATTCTTCATGTTTGTGATGAGAACGTAAGGGAAATACAGCGTAACCTGCTTCGGAGGGAACAGTTATATTTGATAATTCTTCATGTTTGTGTTGAGAACGTAAGGAAAATGAAGCGTAACCTGTTTCGGAGGGGACAGGTATGCCTTCTAATTCTTCATGTTTGTGTTGAGAACGTAAGGGAAATACAGCGTAACCTGCTTCGGAGGGGACAGTTATATTTGATAATTCTTCATGTTTGTGTTGAGAACGTAAGGGAAATACAGCGTAACCTGCTTCGGAGGGGACAGTTATATTTGATAATTCTTCATGTTTGTGTTGAGAACGTATGGGAAAACCAGCGTAACCTGTTTTGAAGGAAACAAGTAGGTCTGATAATGCTTCATTTTTTTAGAACGTAAGTGAAATCCAGGGTAACCCGTTTTGGACGGGCCAGGACACCGCTGAGGTCGTTGTTTTCTCTTTGGTGTTGAACCGCGATTGGATCACTGACCTCGTATACTCGTACACACTCACAGGTTTCTTAAATCAGTACTGACAGGCTTGAGCCATTACATGTGATTGCACCTCATCTATGCCCTTAAGTTACACACACACAACGGCGTTCCGGGTTCGATCCCGGGTCTGGTCAAGTGGGATTTGTGGTGGACAAAGTGGCACTGGGGCAGGTTTTCTCCGAGTACTTCGGTTTCCCCTGCCAATCCTCATTCCACCAATTGCTCCACAATCACCCTCACCTATCATCTGGGGCTGGTACAATAGGCCAGAAGTGGCCGCAGTACAAGGGACTTAGTCCCACCCCACTAGCATTAAAAAAAGTACACACACACAAACAAACAAACGCAGACAGAATATTTTATTTCGACATCCTGTTGCACTGTATTTTTTCCATGTATTCGTTTCCGGCGAATACGTTGGGGGGGGGGGATGGATAGATATGCATACCTCGAGATGAAATCGAACCCTCACTCTAAGAGACTGGGTTCACCGTACGCGGAAGATTTTTTTCTGAAATGTTGGCGGCGTGAGTCATTGCTGCCACCCACCGTGATAAGGCAGACTGTATACATACATGGATTTACTAAATGAAACGGTCAGTTCTACAATACCAGCAACACATGCCGTTTTACAAGCACTGTAAACTATATTACATACTTTCAATGATTTATCACATTATGCAGTACCAAACGACTAACAAGGTATGACGGAAGTTTCTTTGAATTGTTCGTAGTCATTGAGTCGTACACACAATCCACTGCTTTTATTAAACGTGAGGTGTTAATTACTATATGCACTAAGGAAAGACGCTGTACCCTACTCTGGCCCAGCTGAATTCAGTTTACGCCCTTACACCCTGCTCCCCTAAGGTTCATTTTAACGTAATCCTCTCATATAAGTCTAGTTCCTGGAGATTGATTCTTCCTAACCAACTTTGTATCCATACCTCATCTCTCATAGTAAATGACCAATCCAATCCTGCTTGTGTTTACGTAATCATTCTAGTAGTATCAGGCAAAGAGTCTGAACTGTGAGTTAATATTTTCTCTGTCTAACATGTTCTAAGAATTTACATTACCGTCGATACAACATCCTCACGGCAAAGTAATTATCCGTTAGTATTTATTGTACTACACAGTCCGTCAAGAACACAACAAATTGTTCCTTCTTTCTTACACTTTCACTTTCGCTAAAACTGTTACAGTGCACTAATATTGTCCATTAGTCGCATATAAGACTGCACGCTTCACGATTTAAAACGTCATACTCGCAGTCAATTGACACGCTCTAAAATAGCACACGCTGAAGTTTACTTAAATTAAATCAATCAAATTTATTTAAATTTCCTTTAAATTTTGTAAAATTCTTATTACACCTCACAAGGGGCGTCGTCCACTTGTTTTGATCTGTATCCTTTACTTCGGATGTTTCACTGCGGCAACCTGTTTTTCTATTCGTAAGCCCGTTGTTGTATTACGTCCGCATTCTGTAATTCTTACCCTTGCTTGTGCGTTGTTCCCTCTAGCAGCTTGTGGTGTTGTCTTCACTTGTTTCCTTATCACTTATCCCTTCTTTCCAATTCATCATCCCCAAATCACCCTACCGCTTGACATTACACAACCTATGAAGTGAAAAACCGGTGTTACATAGCCCGAGAACAAAGGCTGAATTCATACATCTGTTTCCTTGACTCCCTGACGTGTGCCTCATGCTATCCGGAAGGCCATTTTCAGCGCCGCAGTCTTCCGACCCTTTATTTTCTTAATATAATTTAAGTCCCTATTGTATTACTGCATCTTATGGGGCCCGAAGGTTTATCCTACGGAACGTGCAACTTTAATGAGAAGTCAAACAATACCATTAAGCTTCAACAGAAGTCTCTTCTTATGCCCGCCTACAGCGACACCATAGTCTTACATAGCCTTTTAGGGTCATTTTCCAGCACTCGCCTATGAGGAATTAATTAGGAAAACTGCGAGGAGCTTCAGAAGAGGCGGTAACACGGCCGAGACTGGAGCCTGGTACCGCCTGCCGCTCCTGCTTTACTGAACTGCTTGGAGGGAAGATGAAGGCTCCGAAGTGGGAGGTCTTGGTCAGTCTTTGCAAAGCAGGGAACTCACATTACTGAACTATTTACGACTTTGAGAGGAGTGAGGGTTGTTTTGGGAGGAAGGAAGTCGTTACTTGAGAGCAGAACTTCGAGTCTGGCGCCATACTATCGCGTTACAAGCCCCACGAGCTGGAATTCCATACCGGGAATTTCAGTATCACAGGAAACACAACCACAAACAATTCGCGTTCATTTACAGTACTCTTCAATTTACATCAATTTCGACAAGCAGCTCCAAGATTTGTAGTATTCACCTAAGTCTGTTATTGTAGTGAGCTACATAGCTGAGACAGTAACACGACTGCTGACGGGTTGGGAGATCACGGTTCGATTCACCGAAGGAGCAGGATTTTTCTCCTCGACAACAGAGATCGGCTTCTAAGGCACAACCCAAAATCTGTACGTCTTCACGACGTGGTATTAGGGCACAGAAACAAATGTACCGTAGTATCATTGTAGTTTTACATGGGTACGTCAAAAGGGCGACGTTGACAGCAAATGGACGGCGCATTTCAAGAAATATGTAGTTTTTCTTGAAAAGGGATAACTTGGTAGACTTGTATGTATATGTGAGGATAATATTAGAATGGATCTTAGGTAAATTAGGTATGACGGACTGAATGGAATTGGGTCCAATTGCAAGCGATTGTGAATGCGGTGACGAGCCTTCAAATGTCAAAAAGTCAAGGGAGTTCTCGTTTAGCGGAGTTGTGTTAACTAATAACATCCCTTCATTGATGACTCCGTAGTACAGATAAGTTTCTGTACACTGGCACATGAGTGGCCGTCAATGTGTCGGGACACTCGTGCCTGCAGACAAGCAAGTACTGTCACAGTTTTGTTTAGAATTCTCGGAGGCTGAGCTGGTGGAATGCATGCTCACCCAAAGTAAACAACTGTTCTACTGGTAACAAGGACATGTGTGAACACATTTCTGGCTCTTCTCCCATCTTGCAGTAAGTGCTCTGTCCTTCCCACGCAATTCAGTTACAACATGCTATATTCTTCGCTCGCTATTCTGCCTAGAGCTTTTTCATGATGTTCTATCAACTGGCTAAGTTAATTGCGTCGATCGTAGGATTTTGCGTATTAAGGAGACGGTTTCCTAATACGGAAGGTGCTTGATAAACCGAAAGAGGTTGCCCAGCTTGGGAGTTCGGAGTACGTTTACCGAATTGCACCTTATAGAAAATAACACAGCATAAAAAGCCAAGCCTAAACGTGTGTTTGAGAGTAAAGTGCTGTGAAGAATATTTGAACTTCAGAGAGAGAAATATACGTATAAGAAGACGTCTGAGAAAACTACCTAGGAAGAGCTTCAACAATTTGTACTCTTCACCAAAGAATATTTACCTCCCCTCTCGCTGCCGCTTTGGACCGCAGTTTCGTGATCATTTTTACAGACGGTAGGACTCCTTGGACGGGTGATAAGCTCGTCGCAAGGCCTCTAACTAAACGCAGGACAATAGAAACACAGAATAAACGCATACATACGGCAGACATCCATGACTTGTGTGGGATTCGAACCCACGATCCCAGCCTCCGAGCGCGCGAAGACAGTACATGCCTCGGCTACACCACTCGGCTACCGTGACCGGCACCAAAGAATATTAGTTAATAAAATCAAGGAGAATGAAATGGGGGGCCATAAGTCACATGGGAGAGATGAGAAATGCTTT